CAAGGTGCATCACACATTCTTATCAGTTTAATATTTTATTGCTCACTACATTATTATAGGCATGGAGGTTGGAAGTTTAAGAGTATATTCCCACTCCATAAAATGATCTACTCTGACAATATAGCACCATAATCTTGGCCCAAGGGGCCTTTCACTATTGTGGGGTGGGGTGGTATAAGATGTCCAGAAACCAACCCTGGGGAAAATTGTAACATGTACATGCTGTTATAACATACCAGCACATGCTTACACTTTACTTCACTGTACTTTCTTTATTTTCCGGGTAAAGTGATTGTAAATTTGGGGGGTGCTTCACTTATAGATAGTGATTCACTCTAATTATCTTTTACACTCACTTACTTACACAGTATTGAATTTAACCTGGGTTATATTCAACTGGCAATAAGAGTTTGTGACTAGATTGTCCTAATCTAATCACAAACTCGGAATAAGTAGCCATGTGGCTTGTAACTACATAGTTTTAACTACCTATTTTGGACGTAAGGTATGACTAATGGCCAATATCTTACACCTTCCCCCAGAAAAGGAAGGTTTAGTGTTTATAAATACAAAAAGATAGAAAGTAGAGAAGAGAGAATAAAACAAAGTAAGAGAGATATTGAGATGAGAATAGAAAATGTGCATAAGAAGGAATTGTAATAGAACTAGTGTTCAAGTTATAATAATGTCCATAGGCATGCAATGATAATTTTTTCTTTTTAATGATAGTGACCGCAACAGCAGGCAAAAGAAGCACAGAGCAATGCAACTTGACAGTAGCTGGCAATGTCATGCACTAAAATTGATTGGTAGCATAGACAGGTGTCAATAATGAAACAAATATTCAAAAGACTTGCCTTTGCGCCACACAGGCACAGTGCCATGTGGAATAGTAATTAATATTGCCTTATTCAAAGTTGTGGCTGATCAGCACAACCTCTATTAGGCAATCAACTTGCGCTCACCTTTGCTTTCCATTTGGTACTTTCCGCATTTTGGCATTTTGGCAATTTTTTGCGTCACCACTGGCTATACATTGCGCCCTTGCTTTTGTTGTTTCCCCCTACCCTTTTCCCTTTACTTAGCCCCATCATGGGCCCTTTACTGTCCTTCTTATTCTTACCTGACAGTTGTGTCTGGCTCCCTATTCTAGTCCACTGCTTTGTCACCTCCACCCTCCTCCTACTCATCTTTCTTGCTCCTCCACCATACCTGATGTCACCACTCTCTATCCGCTCCCATTGCCGCTCCGCCGACTACCATGTGCCACTTTTAATATCAGCAAAGCCCTGGCAGCTGGTCCAAATAGGGCAACAGGTCCATCTTCATGATATTGATCTGCTGTCTTCCACTGTTAAATCATCAGTCACTCATCTTGCCTGGTTAGAGCGTGGGTGGGTAGTTTTTGAGCTGGAGAAGGTTCATCCTCTTGTGTTGTCAATGTACATTGCTGTCCCATTCACTTGGGTACATTCATCCTTTGTCCATTGCCTTCGCTACAGTTACACTTACCACACACTGCCTGGAACTCACCTGTTCCAAATTGGAACTACCCCTCTCCCTCCCTCGTTTGACCAGGTGGTCCAATACAACCAGGCCATTGGTAAGGCCATGGAACCTTCAGACTTGGACTAGGTGGTGGACCGGTGGCTCCAGTTCCTTTTTTTTTCAGCAGAATATTCATTTGTAGTGCAATTAATTTTGATTTTTTTACTGCATCTTTCCATGACATCATTATTTTCTTGCTCTCTTTTGTTACAATAACACAATTTTTGGACCTTTAAATTCCATTCTCCTCTTTAACCTTATACTGTAGTTTTCACACCCCATGCTGTGCGGCACTTTTCTTTTGTTCAAACTCCATCTTCTTGTGGCTGCACTGCCTTCTTCTTATTTTAGCTACAAGTATCTCACGCAATGGAGATGGTCACACGGGCTGCGCCCATGACTTTATCAGCCACTGCCTCTATCAACTGTATAGTACACATGTACAAACAAACAAACTGTAGTAGTATATATACCCCAATAGATCAAGGAGACTCCTCAGCGAGTCCTCCTATTGTTCACCCACAACCAACTCGGTCTTATCCAAAGGGTAACCACTCCCCTCACTACCTTTATAGCCTTGTCTGAGTTGTGCACCAGAGTATCAAAACTTTGGTTGTAACATATTTCTGCTATTGGACTTTATTTACACAGCATTTGTTGTTCTATCTCTTTCTTTTCCTTATTTTGACAATCTTATTCCATACCACCTATGCAGGATTTGTCAGCATACATTCCTTCTGTCATGTTCTTTCTCATTCTTTTGCACAGCTATACTGTGCATAGCCTACCTCCCTTTTACTATATAAACCCCTGTATTTTACCTTGTAAAAAAAGGACAAGAACTCCAATCCAGACTTCTTCTCTAATCTCAAGTCCACTTCTTACTGCTACTTGTGATCCAGTGTGGTCACAATACTTCCCACTGCTACCACTGTTATCTGCTGTCATCATCACTCGTCACTTTTGAAATTGTCATCCCTTTGTCACAATCCTCTACTCCTAAACCCCTTATCTCTACTGATAACCGATAAACCATATCTATCATTTCTCCAAAATCTTATCTTATCATAGTCACGTGACCAATCACATGACCTATGACATAGCTACTTACCAAGACAATTACAAAGTGCCTCATGCCTTATGCATGCCGCTCAGTCAGCGCCTCGTTACTAACACATGTTCTGTAGTATATATACCAGCTATTTCATGTACATATCCCCCAGCTGTTGATTAAATCTTTATTTACTGTAAAGACCCTGCTTGCAATTTGAAAGTCTAACTCTCCATTTATTCGGCATAAGAGTTGGTGTAACAACCAAGAGTTAGTTACTCTGGTGCACACAGGAACACACTATAGAGAAGATGAATAGGGAGTGGTTACCCCTTGAGTTGCAGAGAGTTTGTTGGTTAACAACAGGAGGACTCGCTGAGGAGTCTCCTGGATCTATTGGGGTATATATACTACTACAGGGTTATTTGTACATGTGTACTATACAGTTGATAGAGACAGTGGCTGATGATGTCATGGGGCCTAGCCCGCATGGCCAGCTCCACTGTGTGAGAGAGTTGTGTCTAAAATAAGAAGAAAGGTAACGCGGCGCAAGAAAGAGGAGTTTGGACAAAAGGGGAAGTGCCGCGTGGTACCCTGTGTGAAAGCTAAAGTACAAGGTTAAAGCGGAGAGTAAAAATAAAGGGAAGGTCCGAAAATTGTGTTATTGTAACAGTTGGATTCTCACACTCTTTCAATTAGAGTCCTTCTGAGCACTACAGTCTGTGCGTCAGGAGCCTCCTATCACTAGGAATCTCATCACCTCGTTGTTCTCAAACCTACCTTGTGCTACAATTAGCAAGGTAGTGCTTGTCCATACTTGTCATAAAGCCCCTATCTTCTATATTTCAACTATCCCTCCTCCTCAAAACCCACGCCCGTACATCTCTGGGTTTTATTTTGAAGGATTGCTATACATACCACCCCATGAACAACCAGAGCACCCACTGTTCTAGGAGGCAAAGCCCATAAACAAGTTCCATGGAATCTGGGAGGATAGTGTGTTAGTTTGTTTTGTGTGCAGTTTTCTAACAACAGTTCTCATCATCAACACCACCAATCACTTTAACCATTGTGCTGGATCACATGGAGGGATGCCCAATCTCTTAGCTGTAGTATGAAGTGGTAACAATGGTTGAGAAGTCCAAGAAGAGCAAAAACTAAAAGAATACCAAATGATATCTCTATCTCTAAAGCCAAGGGTGTGAGATGGAATGTGTCTGAGAACCAGGATTCAGAACATAGCAGGTGAGGAAGGAAAATGAAATGATCCTTACATTTTGCTGAATGTGGCTTAATGTATGTCTTGGCATGTAGGTTTTGGGAAACATATTTTGATTTATCAGTTACAAATACATTTCCTGAACTGTGCTTACTCCTGACCTCCAAGAAAATCCTTTGTCTTTATCTCCTCCTTGGTTGTGGTTGCTTTTCTAGCTGCAACTTTCCTCAGAGGACAGTTCCTTGCAATATGGCCCAACTGACCACATCCATAACATAATCTGAACTGACTGTGTTGGTCTGTATCCATAGGTACATACACCTTGTCTAGGGAATACACCTCACTGAGGTTAATCCTTGAACATTCTCACATACTAATTTGTCTGGGGTTTTGCCATCTGCTGTGGCTGCTGCTGCTGCTGTTGCACATGTTGGTGCATATATGTTTGTTGTCTGTAGATGGGCCTTGGTGGCTGTGTAACTTCTCTTTTTTTGTCTTTCATGCAGCTGGAACTCTTCTCTTCTCGCCCCCCATGCATAAGCTTGTGTTTTCCATTTGGCAAATGTCATTGGCAGGTCCTTCTGGGTAATGACAAGATCACAGGTATGGGAGTGAAGGTTCTTTTTGAGAATACAATTGATTACATCAAAATGAGTAGTGTTGTTGTATCCAGCTGTGTCCATGAACATTGTGAAATGGCTGAAGAATTTATTGCAGTGTTTATTTTCCCGTTTGTACACTTCCATCTTGTTAACCGCTTGTGACCTTTTGTTCAGGCTTCTGAAGACTTGAGCAAGATCAGTCAGGACGGTCGACAAAGTTGGCCACATGGAGTTGCATTGAGAGCTTTGGTAAGAATGTTCTCTTTCCAAGCTCTTACTGTCAACATCCCTTGGTTGCTGATTTTGAACAGGAGGTGTATGAGCTTTGTTTTCTCATCTCCGTTCAGTAAGTGGCGCTGCGGCACACCAACACGAAAATCGAGGAAAATGGCATTTTTCTCTAAAAGGCCCGCAAACGGAGTTCCCGTACGGACTCCGAAATACTTCACATGTCCCGTTGATCAGAAGAAGCCAAACGTGGAAACGATGAGTAAGGCCGAGTGGATGCCGGAGTCGGAATGTGAATCTTTACGGCTGATTCCGCAAGGCGGACGGGTCCGAAATGCACAGAAAATTTGTTGAGATCAAGACACCACACAGGGTCTATCGATATAGCAAGCCAGCGACCAACACATCCATTCCAAGCACCGTCGACCACAGTAGTCGACCCTTGGATAACAAAAGTACAACTACATCATGTCAGCGTAAGTGTTTGGCAGCTTTCTTCCCGTTTTCTGACTTAGTCGTCTAATTTTCGACGGGCAACAGAGAAGAGGCTCTACAGGATGTCAACGAGAACGAGATCGAGTCCAACTGGGACCAGGTCGTAGATAAGTGCGTTTATGCGTGATCTTATGGGAGACCAGAATAGAACTGATATGGATCTGCATAGCTTTGATAACATGGACTTGAAGGCAGAGCTTCTGCGAGGTGTTTACGCTTACGGGTAAGCGCAGTTTCGTTTTTATACCTTTGGCGATCTTCCTATTGAGCTGTATCAAGTTTCGAGCGACCTTCTGCCATCCAGCAGCGCGCTATCGTCCCGGTCGTCAAAGGACACGATGTGATCGCTCAGGCTCAGTCTGGCACGGGAAAGACAGCCACATTTTCCATCTCCATTCTCCAGCAATTGGATATGTCCATCAAGGGCTGCCAGGCTCTCATCCTTGCCCCCACTCGTGAGCTTGCCCAGCAAATCCAGAAGGTCGTTATCGCCCTCGGTGATTACATGAACATCGAGTGCCATGCCTGTGTCGGCGGTACCAACGTTCGTGAGGATATGGCTAAACTTCAGGAAGGAGTCCAGGTGGTTGTCGGTACCCCTGGACGAGTGTATGACATGATTAACCGTAGGGCGCTCAGGACTGATAACATCAAAATTTTCTGTCTTGATGAGGCCGATGAAATGTTATCCCGCGGTTTCAAGGACCAGATCTATGAACTCTTCCAGCTACTACCTCAGGAGACTCAGGTTGTGCTCTTATCTGCCACCATGCCTGCCGATGTCTTGGAAGTCACGAAGAAGTTCATGCGTGACCCGGTTAGAATTCTTGTCAAGAGGGATGAATTGACTTTGGAAGGTATCAAGCAATTCTACATTGCCGTCGAGAAAGAGGAATGGAAATTGGATACTCTTTGCGATCTTTACGAGACAGTCACGATTACCCAGGCTGTCATTTTCTGCAACACGAGGCGGAAGGTTGACTGGTTGACAGAGAAGATGCACTCTCGCGAGTTCACCGTATCTGCGATGGTAAGCTATCTCGATGTCCTCATGTTTTTCGTCTACTGATCGTGTTATCAGCACGGAGACATGGAACAAAAACAACGTGAAGTGCTGATGAAAGAATTCCGGTCTGGTTCTTCTCGTGTATTGATCACGACGGATCTTCTTGCCCGTGGTATTGACGTGCAGCAAGTATCGCTTGTTATCAATTACGACTTGCCCACCAACAGGGAGAACTACATTCACCGTATTGGTCGAGGTGGACGATTTGGACGTAAAGGTGTTGCCATCAACTTTGTGACTACTGATGATGTCAGGATGTTGCGAGATATCGAACGTAAGTTTACGTTTTCTTTGATACCGAAGGTGGTAGTAACATGAGAGGCTTTCTACAGAGTTCTACAACACCCAGATTGACGAAATGCCTCTTAACGTCGCGTATGTGCCTTTTCTGAGCCTTGGAGTGGAAGCACTGTTGACAATGATTACAGTGATCTTATCTAGATGTGCGGCATTGTGCCGCTTACGACCACGTCCTGACCGTCACGTCTGTACTTTTTTGATCCCTTTGAAATATGTCCTGATTGTGTCTCATTACCGTACTACAAAAAGTTTTTGGCCGTTTAATAACGAGCTGAGGGCTGTTCCGCGATCACTTGCCATGCATTGTGTCTGTAGCCAAATCTCTACTTTTTCCTTCGACTATTTTTGTCAGACTAGTAATAAGTGGAAAGGTGATATATATACAGTATCTCAATCCTGCTCTTGTCGGGTGTCTTGTAAGGTGATATGAAAAGTGATGTGATAACCGGGGAGGCAAGCCTCGCCATCAATGGTCCTCGGTGCACAGCCTGGCATTGCCTTGGCTGTCTTGCAGCTGCGCCGAGGGCTTGCTTGCTGTATATCGACTGATCCAGATATTTTATTTGATGCAAGGTCCGCTGCAAGGCTATACATTCGAGCCTCGAATACTCGGGATAATGGCTCCAAGCACAGGTCAGGCTTGCGAGATTGCGAGCCTCATGTATCCCGACGAGATGACCCCGCCCCGACCTTTCGGCACCGCCTGTAGCATACGGCTATTGGCATAAGCCTGCCGTAGGCTCTGACAAGATCTGACATATTAAAGGGACCCTGTGGACGTCTTCATGTCGACAATTAACAAGGGCGCTCCCCGCCCCATCTTTTCATAGAACCCCCCTTTGTCTCGTGGCCACGAGTGGCTTTGCCTCGAGTTTGATCTTCATTCTATACTTGCGCCTTCTCTCCCAACTGTCCACTTGTCTGTCAAAAGTTGCCATGGTGAGTCGTCATTTGTGCGGCCTTTTGTGTCCTCCTCCTTGCTAACCCATCTCTCCTTATAATCCAGACTAGAGACTCTCGTTCCATATCGTCCAAATCTGGCATCCACCTGCCCACTATGTCCTCATGGCCTGCACAACCCCAGAGCCCAAGCCCCCTCACCCCCTTCTCGCACCGCAACTCTCGTGCTTCGGAAATAATACCCAGACTCTATGTCTCCGATATCTACATCGCAGAAAACCCCGCAGCTCTCACTACAATGGGTATCACTCACATTCTCTCAGCTATGCGTGGCTTCGTCGCCGTACCCCCAGAACTACACATCCATCGTGCCCAAGTCCCTCTAGATGATCTCCCCTTTTCCGAGCTCGCTGCCCATCTTCCCGCCACCACTGCCTTCCTTCGCGATGCTCTGCGAGACCCAACTACCCGGGTCCTAGTGCACTGCGAGCAGGGCATAAGCCGCAGCGCTAGTGTCGTCTGCGCATTTCTCATTGCCGAGTATGGCTGGACTTCTGCCCAGGCTGTCCAGTACATAAAATCAAAAAGAAGAGCTGCCGAACCTAACTTTGGGTTTGTACAGCAACTCCAGGAGTATGCTGACTCCTTACGATAAGTCTTGTCATGTTGATAGAATGGGCTTTTTGGTTTTTTTTTTTTTTGCTGTCCGCGCTTTGATATGATACGACGTTCCATGACAGACTTTCTTTTAGTGATACCATTTACACATTTATCCACTATCCACTGCAGAAACCTTTGTATAACTTATTCAGTTTTCTCCATCTATATTGGCATCTACTCCTCATAACCCTAAACCACTATCATATGCATGCAATACGAAGTAATTATAATAATCATGATCATGTCTGGTAATATAATATCCTACAACACTCTACATATAATCCTTAATAAATGAAGAAATAATAATGTTCCTTACGAGCAACAAGTCGGTCGTGTCGAACCTTGGTCTATATTGAGATTGCTATTGGCTGGTTTCGATAGTTTCACACCGGGAGACTGTACGATATATAATGTGAGTTGTTCGACGTGGACAAGGATAGTCACGTACTCGGTCGTCGTCAAATACCCCACGCTTTATCTTGTCCAAGATATCTCGGGATGCCTGCTCAAATGCGATTTCGACGTTGACACCAGACTTTGCGCTAGCCTCCACGAAAAGCAGGTCGTCCTCTTTAGCCCATAATTCTCCCTCTGCAGTCGAAACTTCTCTTCGACCATTCGACGTTCCGTCTTCCGCCTCGCATAGGTCAACTTTGTTCCCCACCAATATACATGTTAAATGCGGGTCTGCATGCTCTCTTACGTCCGCTAGCCAAGACCGAGCGTTCGTGAAACCTATTCAGGGATGGCGTTGCCCAGGGGTTAATCGGGTTTATCTCGTGGATAGAACGTAGATACGACATACTTGCGCGAGATGTCACGTCGTATACCAGTAGGCACCCCGCAGCACCTCGGTAGTACGACCGCGTGATAGATCTGAATGACTCTGTGCCGGCAGTATCCCAGCCTGTTTCTGAATTAAACACACGACGCAAGTGGTAGACAAAGAGACGTACATTGGAGTTTCACTATCTTTCCTTCCTCTGGTATCTCGATCAACTTTGAACCAAATTCCACTCCTAGCTAGGGACAACGATGATAGTTAGTACTTAAAGTATAGGTGAAACAGTACGCGCAGGCCAGACATACAGTGGGATCAGGATTTGTCAGAAACCTCTGGTCTGTGAGACGGACAAGCAGTGATGATTTCCCCACAGCTGCATCTCCTGCGAGCGCCAAGCATTACCGTTATGAGTAAAATGACGGAGTGTGATCATCCTTCTCACCTGTTATGATGAATTTGAGAACGTAGTGCCAGGTTATGCCCGACATTAGTATGCCGGATATGTGCCAAAAGCTTGGTTATAATGATACAAAGGTTTCGCTGTGCCAATTCAACCGTAACGACGAGGGAAGAGAAAGAAATGTAGCAAGGGAAACCAAGGTCAGTAATAGCAGTGCGCCACAAGATGACGGTCTGAAATGGTTATGTGCACGTGCTGTTGCACTACGGATGTTCCCGGAAAAGTCTGCCGCCAGAGAACCGTCCTACCTACAACGCTCTCCAAGCTTCTGCATTTTCTATAGAGCCTTTCAAACCCGAACGTCTGTCATAATGAGCAGTGCAACATGGCGCAGTGTCTTCACGTAGGTTTCTCTTATGATAGGTCACTCAAGGTTTTTGAACTGACATGGGTGTAGGTACAACAAGTACGCTCAAATCACCGCACGAGCTGTCCGACAGTCGTTGAAGGAAACTGAGCGTCTCCAAGCGGAGAGACGAGGTGTTACTGCTCTGAGATATCAGAAATGGGAAAATGGTACTGGTGGAACGCAGGTCAGTTGCACTCTTTCCACTGGATAAAATTCAGTCTTTTCTTATGCGGAGGTTATGTCTTTTCAGGTATTGTTGAACCCCGAGGAAGCCAAGGCTCCTCAAAAGAGTGCAGCGGTCTAGGAGTTGTCGTCAACCATGGAAAATATCACACCGGAGTAATCCAGGATGCTTTGTCTCTGCACACGTAGCAATTCAAATAGATGCGCTGACGCTCATGAACGTCCATACCCATTGAGAAACCAATTTACCGCTTGTACATGTTCAATTGAACTATGTTTATGGTAACCGGATTGTCTTTCCATGGTATTCGTGGAAATGATCATTGTACAGTAATCTGACTCATTTGAGCAGGCCTTGTTTGAAGTTTGAATACCGCAAAACGGGCGCAAGGCGGAAAGGCAGTGACAACATTACATGCGGCTTGGTCCAATCAAGCAGCGTATTCCCGTATTCAACCCTTTGAAATAGGGAATGCTTAGCCTTTGAATCTTGATTTAAAAATGGGCTGCACATGCAGAGAAATTCATCAGTTGATTATACGGCATCCTTGCTTACACCCTTCTCTTCGCAGTTCGAGGCTGAGTTGATATCAGTTATGTTTTCTAAAAGAACGGATACGTCGGTACTGTCTCCCGACTGTCGCTGGGTGATGTTAGGCACATTAACCACAGCAGGATGGTTCATGCCTGTGCATCCGAGCTACGGTCACTGCCGCCGTCTTGCTAGGGACGAAGGCCCTTTTTTGAGCCCTTCCTTCCAAGGTCTTTTCATCACATCTGTTGGTCCACTATCGTCCAATGAAGGTACGCCGCCGAAGTGTTGTAGAATCATTGTATGCTCATGTAACGCGTGTATCTCAGCAAAGCAATCATTCCCGATTCCATGCCGTGAAATCCTGTACACACAGCGGCCACAACGACCAAATCAACGGTCGTAGTAAGGCAAGGTTTGTCTTGGTTCTGGTATCCCCGCCCCTACCTCACATAACTATACTTTTTAGTGACACTCACGGCTACTGTAGTGCTTTAGTGTAAATCACTTCTCCGGCAACAAATCGCAGTCACTGCCGTGTGCCTATCATAGGGTTGCTAGTAAACGATCATGGCATCGTGCGCCAGCCATCGCAGCTTCTTACTGCCTCATGTCTGGGCAAGGACGTTTGTGGTGCTACGCGGACCTACTGAAGAGTATACCGCGGCATGATGCCCATCACCACGTTTTATGCTCGAACAGTGATATCCAGCGGTGAAGGCTCACTTCGGACGATATACATCTAACCTACTCGTGCTGGTCTGAAAGTGGGCCCGGTAACTCGGAAAGTTAACGGTGTTTGATCTGCCTGCCAAACTATGACAACTTAGGGACTTGTCACGGGAGCGTGAGCAATGTCGACGTCTTGCAAACTAATATATGTCGATTTTACGCCGTAAATCTTCTAGGACTCGGAGAGAACCCTAGACATCATTTTTCTACCATGTGTTGAAGAACAAGGATGGCAATTTTGCATGCATGAAGAAAGTGAACAGCTACGTCTATTGGTGTTCCGACTGCAGGCTTCATGATATAATTGACATTTACTATGAATATAGTGGCAAAATTTCGTTCTCTATGGTTGATATCCTTGCGTTAAGCGATAGTGAAAAATTGTCAGAGTACTTCTCAATTGCAGCACAAAATAATCGTAAGTACTGATCGGTTTGACCAAGATATCGTTGTTCTGATTCCAGAGGACAAAATTATTACCGTTTTGTAGAGAGCGGCATCGCCATACGCACATGGGCAAGTAGATGCGAAGATGACCTGGTGTATGAAAAAGTAAAGCTCCTCACTAGAATCCCACATGAGATCAAAAAACAATTTTGGAAACTATAGCTGCTGCACTTCAGTACACTGGTGTGAAGACTCCGATTAAAAGGTGGCGGTACAAAAGTGTCGTGTAACGCCGTCGATTGCTACGTGTCAAGGGTTCGGGTTGAATTGCCAGGGTTGCTGAAACGGCGACGGCGACGGTCTCGAAGCAGTACCTATCAGTGAATTGTTGCAAGTGAGGCATAACATGAAACCATGACTTGCAGAGATTGTAAACCTAGTAGTACCTCTGTGCGGTAGGACTACCGAGTTACGGAACAATAAATTGGTACAATCAGTGCGGCTGGCAGGCAGTTGTGGTGGCCTGTGGAGAATCATGACCAACCGCCCATCAACCAGTACTTACGACAACTGCATTATATCGAGCACAATATTCTTGGTCATAAAATTCTTCTCGCACGCGACGGGAGTAACTCTTGTTGATATCAGAACAGCAGCGTAATATAATAAGCATCGTACTGGCAACTTCTGGGATATGATATTTCTAGTTGTACCCATATATAACCTTCAGATAAAAATGAGTAGAGCAACTCAACTCTCAATCGATTGGTCTTCACAAATACGTCAGACTTCTTGTCATGGCTTTTTATGTCTTTTGAAATAATCAGAATTTTGCCAACGTCTTTGTCACAACTCCTCTTAGTTCTTTAGTCAAATATATTTTGTATTTCACCCCACACCATCATGGGACGCACATGATATCCTGTTCGTCCTGAGCACACGCAAAGAACGTGATGCACTCTACAATATATGAAAGGGAATATCTGTCTTCATAACATGGAGCACAAAGAACAGACGGACAAAGCATTCCTCCTGACAACGAGTGAAGAAGCCAGCAGAGGAACGGAACAATAAAAATAGAGTTTATTATTTGTGCGTAACGAATCCCTTCCCAGAGTAGCCTTCCGATGTAATGCCTGAAAAAGAAATAGAAATGAGCATAAACCAGCGCGGTAGTTGCGCACCGTTGCTAATGCTTTCACAGTAGCACGGAGGTGGCCATAGAGAAGTCATACCTGAAATGGGGTTCATTTTTTGCTCCCGTGCGCGCTCGTTGCTGGCCTCCTCCCATTCTTTTGTCAGAGTCTTGGGTGCAGGTCCAGCTACAAATTCATAAATACGTTCCGTCAGTACACACATATTGTAAGGGCGCCTGGATATCACACAATGCACCGCACAAAAGTAATGTCGTAAGAGAATACCCACCCAGAGATCTAGTTGTAGCAAATATTAAACCAGCGACACCAACCAGTCCGAGGGTGTACACTGCGATTTTGAGACCGTCGCCAGGTGGACTAACAGGAGCTCGTGGACCATGTGGACCGAAAGCTACGTAGTATGCTACATATCCAGAGTCATACGCAAAAGCGGATACACGCGATTCGACGATGACCGGACCAAAAGAAAAACCATAAAATACGAGACCATCAAAAAAAAGTCTGATATGTTCAAAGTTTCCACTGAACGCACCGGCCTTCTTTTCATCAGTAGACAGTGTTTTCCAATCCTTCTTTTGCAGCTCTTCAAGCTGTTGGTGGACTGTGAGCTGCTCCCCTTTGCTCAACTTCTCCCATTGAGCCTCGACGTTGGAGAGCGGGACGACGGAAGGTGCTGAGGACGTGGCAGCTGCAACATGCGCGGATGGGCTGGCGGTTGTCGCCAGGCGGCGAAGGCATACTCTAGGACGCGCCAGGCGGATGGCTTGCATGAGGAAACGAGAATGAGGAATGAAAGAGTGCGCTGGGCTGCAGTGGAATTAACGGGCGACGAAATCAATGCGTGGAAATTCTCGGCTGTTCGTTGCTCGGATATCGGCATGAACCGGGATAGAAAGACCAAGGTCTCCGTTGCACCTAGCCTCGGTCTATGAGACTACAAAGATAATCGCACAGATAACAGTATGTGTTCATGTGGGCTATGAACGTTGTATTATTACAGAGCAGGCGACATGTCATTATTCTGCCAAGAGGCGATTTATCGAAGAACAGATACAATTTCGTCACAAGAGTGCAAGAAGGCAGAAGAGATCAGGCATAGAGATACAATGACATCGCTCAAGCACCTCCCTCAGCGGTAGCAACACCAGGGCAGTCACGAGAGATGTGCCTGTGAAGCGAACATCAGCCACAACAAATGATGTATAAAATGAAAGGGACAAACCCTTCGGATCCACAGGTGTAGCAAGCCCTTCGCTGGGGTTGAGGACAGTCCCTGCTAATATGACCCTGCACGCACCCAGTGAGTCAATACAAGAATATAACCTTATCAGATACATACCACTCCAGAGCAGTTGTAGCATTTTGAGCCCTGCACACAGTCACGCGACAAGTGGCCGACTCCACCACAAGTGTAGCTATCACATTAAGTAAGACTTCATCTGCTGCCCACAATTGAAAGACAATGTCTTACCAAGTTTTTCCTCCTCCTCCTCCGCCGCCACCGCCGAAGCTACCGTATCCACCACCGTACCCACCACTGTTGCCTCCAGGGGCCTCAGGACAAGCGCGGGCAATGTGGCCTACCTTACCACAGCGATAACATTCTGTTCCACTTGAGTTTGAAGAATATCCGCCACCGCCACCGCTGTATCCACCAGAGTTAGCATTTTCGGGGCAATCACGAGACTATGATGAGGCGATATGTAAGTTGTTCTGATCACATCGATCACATGCTTACGATGTGGCCCTCCTGGCCACACTTGTAGCACGACTTGGCCTTAGCCTCCATCGTGCAGTCACGAGAAACATGGCCCTCAAGACCGCCTGCACCCAAAATATTAATTTTGAAAAGTTTGAAAGCGATCCTTGCTTACAGTTGTAACTGTGATTAGACGATACAGGGGTGAACCGGTGGTTAATTGAGTACACCACAGACAGATAGCTGATTAATACCAAGTAGGAGTTCCTGCCTTGGGGCAGTTTGCAGCTTGATGACCGACTATACAGTCATGAAATGGTGCCATATGCAGCAGCGAAACAACATATCAAGGACGAGATAAGTGAAATTTTTTCATTATATTGCGATCCGAGTTCGATTGGTTGATATTCGTGATATGACAACACAAGTCATCGATAAAATATGAAAAAGAAAAAGAACCAACAGCGGTCCCCGTCAGCACCGCACACACAAACGAAATAAACAGTAAATAAAAAGGAGACTGATGATGAAAGGAGCTAGCTAGTCGCTGCAAGAGATGAGATGGCATCTCAATGAGACGAAACTGGCCACAGGGAAGATATGAACTGAACGACACAAAACACCACGCACAGCCACCACAGTTGAAGCATCCACGGGCGCCAGACATTCTTTTGATATGTGAAGATGGACCTGATGTGAAAAGTGAAAGTTAGGAGGTGTTTGTTTGTGTCAAGTAATATCGTATATTGAGTGATCGCGAAGGCCAGTTGATGGTGGAAGCTAAGAGGAAAGAAACCAAATGAACAGACGTACTTTATAAAGGGGACCGAGGCAGTGAACGACGTGAAAAACGTTGAGAACGCGTTGCAGGTGAAGGTGCGTGGAGAAGAAAGGAAGAGAAAAAAAACTAATGACAAGCGCAGTAAGCGCCCTAATTACATAATCACGCGGAATGGATCGAGCACGTGGAGATACACGTGACCTTGGCGCGTGAACCGTTTCTCCTTTTAGCATGTCTGTATCTTGCTCCTCAGTGTAACGATGTTCAGGTGCTCTGACTCGTGGGCTGGGACTAGAGACTATATACATGCAAATTTCCATTCTTAATGATTAAAACTTATTACTGCGACCACAGTAATCTATTAGTATTGGCATTTGTCATAAGGTCCGCACCAGGTTTCCACAGCCATTTGGACTATTATTCCCGGCTGACCGTTCCCATCGATAGGAGGCCACGCTCTCCTTCATATCTCAAAGCAGCTGCAAGTGGAGATTCAATCAAACCCAAATCTTCTTCGCACTCATATCAGATTCCGAGGAGGATGTTCATGGCTGCCACATGCCTGTCATTTCTCAGGGAATATCCGCATCCATGATGCAATTTGGCAGGTTGTCCCTGAGCCCTTTTATTGTCAATAACCTCAGCTTCTTAAGAATACACCACAGCATCATATATCACTTGACTTACAGATCCTCGGACTGGTCTCTGCTGCCATAAACCTTAGGGAGCAGCATCTCCGACTGCCACGCTGAAGATCCGATAGTTATCGATAGCCTCGGCGCTCTAAGTGATGAGGTTTAGCTTTTTTTATCTGATACAGTCGCGCGGCATTGACTTGCTTGTTCTCAGAGCCTCACTTTTTACCAGACAACTCCCGCGGCATCAGCTTCTCCAGATGGCGGCAACGTCGTGTTATGTCGTTATTTCACATGGCGCTGGGCTCTGACTATCACACTGTCATCTCTCAGTCATTCACGGGCGTTTCTGAGTGCACTTTTCCGACATCTTCGCGGGCCTGTATCGCGATGGGAAATATATGTGCATCATTCAATTTACAACTTTCAGCGCGAATCCAAAAATAATAGAAACCATGCGTGCCTTAAACCAAGTCGTTTTATCATCCGGTCACTGTGGACCCTTCGACTCAACGAATGACCTTGTTCTTAGCTCATACATTAGTCTGTCATATCTGTCTGCCATGTCAACCCGTCTGATTCGCAGTCCTAGCGCTCTGCATATGTTTTCTCATGATCGTTGGTTGCTGGATTGGTAAAAATCCCAGGAAGCGGTGTATGCATGCTAGGTGCAAGAGCTACCCCAATAATTTCCCCCTCCCAGGTTTTTCCTGCAGTTAAGATTTGGTAACGTATAGCTATAGTTATTTCGTGATAGAGAATGCTCACGACAAATGCACTCACAGCTTCAGCGATGGGATTCCAGCCTAAAGTAGTAGAATATTAATATCGGACAGAATTTCGTTCGAAGGACACAAGTACATTTTTTGTATATTTATCCTCTCCAGATTCAATGCAGTAAGTAACTCTTGGATATTTCTACTATAATGTTCGCTCACTTTTCCCAGGTCTTCCTATCAGTTGTCTCGTTGGAAATGATCACTCTTAGGCACTCAAGCCCTGTCAACCGTTACTGGGATTCTCCTTATATTCTCGCAATCCCATGTCATCCCTGATTCTGACCTTTAGTCTTCTGGGACAAACTACAAGCATAGTATACCTCCCTTGCTTTTCCTGGCTGTCTGTTGTGTCTCTGTACTCATCCGAGGAGTTGGGCCTGACGTGATCCCTTATATGCCTATCATCCCTCGATGGCACAAATGATATCATTTTCTCCTGATGCTGCAGTATCAGTCCACCCGATTGTGTGCCCATCAAATGGGGGAAACGGCACGCAAAGAGCTCTAACGTGTACACCGCTACTCAAACTCAACCTTATTTCAGAAAATCATAGTCAGTGGTGACTTCCTGTTTCACTAAATTCCAAAGCCCTCGGTTCTGAATGCTGGTTTTCCTAGATTGAGCGGAACTCAGTTTATGCCGATGACAAGTATAAGAGGCAGCCTTCCTAACTTGCTCACTCGTGCTGCATGTTATCCTCCTTGTGACGCTGAATATAAAATAATCAAGGTTGTATATAGTTAGGCAAGGAATATATACTTAGAAACCCCTCATGTTCAGTCGCTTCTCCATCATAAATCGATCTCCCTCTGATGCTTCAATCGAGGGGACCGGAACTTCAAGGCTTACTGCCGAACTTTGATATGGGGCCACTGGCACCTACTTGATAAGGATCAGCTGAGGAACCTTTGCGAATGTGGCATGCTACTGATGAGACAGATGCGGACCAAACTCGAGAAGTTGGGTCAGACGCCGCCCTCACTAGCAGCTTACCACGGAACTAGGCAGGTCATTCAATTACTAGTACACGCGGGAGAGAACACTATACTTCATCAGTTTTAGTTTTATATCTGTATTTTACATCCCACTAGCATTCTCGTTCAAACACCCCTGTCACCAAAAATTGCTTCTCAAGCATCGGCGAATACTAGTACGGTAATCAGCTAGTGTGATTGAGATGGCCGTACCTCTGTGCCTGGCCTTGCATATGGTTAAACATTTACTAACATTTGATGATTGATGTGAACGTGGTTCCAGTGAACGGTAGTATACCGCTATTGTAGCCTGCCGCATACCGTGCCTTGGACGAGCTGGATATCAGTGTAACCGATAAATCAATATTATTGTGTGGACAGTGTCAAGCAACGGTGAGTTAGATCAACAATGTTGGTGCCAGTAGTGATTGCATCACCAATTATATCAAAGATCAGCAACGTTTCCGAGAACAGAGACTCTGTAGGGGGTGGTGGCATCCAGCATCTTCTACTTGGAAGGCCTGACATTAGAAAACGAGTGCAAACAAACACTCTTGTCGAGCGCAGTAAAAAAAGATGCGAATTTCTTACGAAGAAGCTGCTTTCCAGAGGTGACGTCCCCATGCTATTCACCTCATATGCTGTGCAGTGCGGGTATATAATTGTGGTAGCCTTAACGAGTTGTGCTCAACTCCTGGAACATGACAGGACATACCCTGCTTCATATGGGATAATACGCTGTCTTCCTCCGTAAACTTGGACAATCGAAATACGCCTGGAATTGACTGACCACAAGTACGCTCGAGTGCTGTCGTTTAATACATTCTCCCATCCGCACTCTTGGTGTCCGTATCGCAGAATCCACATACCCTTGTGACCAATCCAGTTGATGATAATGAAACAATATTACAAAATGGATGTCACGGTGAGGTGGAATACATTTCTAAATTTCAGTGCTTCCCATGATATGAGAATTTGAAGGGTTGACATATACAGTCTGGCGAACGACCAGTGGGCGGATAAGAACATGGCCATGTTTGCACAGTTTACGCTGAAGTGAAGAAAACACTTAGCACACTGCAACATGACATATCCTGACTAAAGAGAAGCAGAGTTGCCAAGCTATACTGATAAGTCTACAGGCCTTTGTCTGCGGTTTTATTGGTTTCCTTTCCCTTGTCCTTGCTGTCCTCCTTCTCAGATTTCTTTACGTCGCCATTGCCTGGTTTCTTATCTTTCTCGTCGCCACCTTCCTCCAGTTCTGCCCGCCCAATGGTAGCTTTGTTGTCTACGAGAGCATGCAGCGCAATTACAGCTCGCAACAGACTACTCAAGTATACCACCAACAATTGATCGTTAGTACTTGATGCGAAACTCTGCGTGGTTATTGGGTCGCTGAGGTCCGGTAGAAGATTTAAGGCATCCTGTAGATGGTAGATGATTTGGTGGTTCACAGGCATCGTACCAGAGGCAACGTCAAGCAGATATTTGTGGACGTCACTTAGCCGCGACTGCAGTCCACGGAGGGAAGCCAGCTGCTCGCTAACACGAGTGCTGAGTGTGGTGGTGGTGGAATCTTTGATATCCCGCAGTAGATGTTCAACGCCAATTTCTTCTGCTTCTTCTGCTTCTATGGCGGAAGGGACGTGCAGGAATGTCTTCCTGGTTTCTGTACCATCCTGGAAAATATATATCATAAATATGGGGAAAAGATAATAACATTAACAATATAGCGCACATCTTTGATTTCTTCTACCGCAAAATATGCGTCCGTAGGAATACCAACCGTGGTCGGTCGTACATCTACAATAACCATGACAGGTCGAGCAATAAAGCGTTTGAACAAGTCATTGATCTCCTGATCCGACGCTCGCAGTTTTGGCCCGGTATGATACCATCCAATCATCCGTTCACGGGCTAAAGACAGTGTCGAGATCGAGACGCAACTTCAGCATACCTCTGTGCATGGAAGATCGAGGACGCACAGACCATTAACCTTCTTGAACATGTCCCACATCCCTTCAATGTAATTATGATCTAGAAACCACGTCTTGCTGTCTTTCTCATCTTCCTCGAACGGGATACCAAAAGAGTTGGCAACGTTTATAACTTTGCCATTATCCTGGCCTAGCAGGACGCCTACAACACGTTTTGAAGAGTTTCGCGAAATGGATCTAGCATGGTGATCTGTGACTGAAAGAAGGACAAGCGGATGCACGACTATGAAACTAAGGTAAGGATTATAATCTGGTCAGCTATTTCATCACTCACCAACGGTTGTTCCAGCAAGCGCCGTTAGCTACCAAAGAAATACTACTCAGAGATCAAGTCATATCGTTTAACATATAAGCTTACTTGTTCTGTTGTTGAGGCGACCATAGTAGGTGCAGATTATTGGCGAGGACTATGAAAGCAGCGATTCAATGCACAAATGACCTTTGCAACTGCATGCAGCAGACGCGTGCATGACCGGACGCGCGTATTGTTTACTGTTGTTTTTCGCAGTGCTACCATCCAGTTCTTTGCACCACAGGCAAGAAACCGTGGCGGCTAGTTTGATGCCACAGAGGTCATGCGCGTCAACCTAATAATCTCGGCCTGTGAGCCCGACCACCCAAAACGCCGCCTGTTGTTAAAGACAAAAGACTATGCCAGTTAGAGCTTGACAATACTGAGCTTATGACTGGTAGAGCAGACAATTTGATGTCGTGAATCAATCATCTAGTTAGGTTTTACTTTAGCTGGCTCCAGACGAGTTTATTTGGACGATGATGCATCGAAGAACTTCTAGTTCTGACCCTCAAATTCAAAGCTTCCAGGCTGCAAATTTTGAGATTATATACAGCGTGCTTTCTACGGACATAGAACGTCCTGGATTATTTAAATCGTATTGTATGTACTAAGTTGTGGGTTGGTGATGACCTATTTTTTACAAAGGTGAAATCCGGCATGCCAGCTGCACATAAGACAGACTTGTTTAGCATGGAGATTTCTACGAGCATTCATGTTGCACCCTGGCTACTTCATCATGCGAATACATAATAGCAGCTTGTGCGCTTGTTTCCCTGTTTTTTCGGTTTTGGCTGTGAGTTTGTGACGACTGTCACCCGACTGGTACACAAAATTACTGTTATTCGCTGCTCTGCGCTGGTCGCTGCGCTATAGCTTCCGGCGCCTGCACTCATCTTTGAGGTGGAGCTTTGGTGGAGCTATGTGTGTGCTGTGTAAGAGCTTATCGGGATCCTGCGCTGCGTTGTTAAAGACAAATGGGACGACTGAATTTCGTTTCAACACTAGCAATATTCCTTGTAATGCCTACTCATGTGCTACTTCTAGCTCTAAAAACTCCCTCAGACCGCTTCGTAACAGTTCCTTTGTGTATGCCCATAACACCGAAATAAATTCCATCAAATATTTAAAGAAAGCGACGGTGGTCATCCGCTGGTTCATACAAAGTTAATGGGTGGCATATAGGCGTAGAGGCATACATACTAGCAGTTGTAATTTCACTTCCATAGAGGTGCTGTCGCGATAGAACGCATACGTGGCCACGATGAGAGCAATACCTCCCAAGATATAAAACTGGAGCTCTCGAACATTTTCCTCGACATTGGCATAGATGTAGAATTTCTGTTAAGTCAAGTCATTGAAATTAGTGATTATATGACAGATCATTTTTGCGATAGACAAACTCACCCATGTGCTTGTCAATGAATCAAGCAATGACTCCCGGGCATCCGAAGCTACAATCCATAGATACATGACTAACGGGCTCGAGAACACAAGAGGTAACATACTGAGCTGTGCTTTCCATATTCTGATGTAAGTTGACTCGCTTTTTTCAGCGGCAGCGGCAGCAATGTAACCAGTGGTCCGATATTGTTTAGCCTAAACAAAGTGAACATATAGTTATCACGCACGTATAAAAATGAGAGGTACGTACACAAATAATCTGAATCAAGTCATCTACTGCCCATCAAAAAGAATCCTCCGCCAAAAATCATAAGAGTGGCGTACCTTCATGAGTGAGAGTTTGAATAAGGTCTCCCGTCTTAGTTTCCCAAAGGGGTACGTTTCCACGGGGGGCACCAGATAGGACGACTTGACCATTGTGGGTAAACGCAACTTCAAGCGGTACATTCCTAGTAGCGTCAGAAACATATTTGAAAGATTGCTTTAACTTGGATTGTCCCAGAGGGTAAAGTTCGATTGCTCCTGAAAGATTTGACAGCAATAAAGTCCGACAGTTGGGCGACAATGCTGAAAAACCGCTATTTACGGGAGGTACTCGTGCACTGTGATATAGTCACATTAAAAAGAAAGCTTACATGTAACCGTGGTCGTGTTCAGGTTCAATCTGCCAAAGGCGCGCATGACTATCGACATCCCAGCAACTGTGTTGTAATAAATCTGAATAGACTCAAATAGATGGAGATGAGATGAATAGACCTACATCACCCCATGATTTAAGTACGATACAACGAGTCGAGCTCCATATTTCAAAAAATGCAATGACCGTGGCCTGATTCGGTTGTCACTACGTTCTTCGTTGAATTTTCCCGGCTTTGGGAGACTACCCCGCGACACGGCTGAACGG